CCCCTATCCCCCCAACCCCCACTCCTCACCCTGTCCCCCCAGGTGCGCAGCGCCGTGGCGGTGGGCACCCCGGATTACCTCTCCCCCGAGATGCTTCGCGCCCTGGAGACGCCGGGGGGCTCTTATGGCCGCGAGGTGGACTGGTGGGCTTTGGGGGTTTTGGGTTACGAGATGTTTTATGGCCGCGCCCCCTTCTACGCCCCCAGCCTGGCTCAGACCTACGCCAACATCCTCAGCTTCCAGGTGGGACCCCAAAAACGCCCACAGACCCCAAAAGTACCTGTAGGACTCAGTGTGGCCCCACTGACCCCAAAAATGCCCATAAACCCCAAATAGGGCCGTTCCGACTCCAAAAACACCCATAGACCCCAATAGGGCCCCATAGACCCCAATACAGCCTTACTGACCCCAAAAATACCAATAGGCCCCAATATGGCCCCACAGACCCCAATAGGGCCACCTCATCCCCGAAAACACTCATAGGCCCCAGTAGGGCCCCATAGACGCTAATACAGCCTTACTGACCCCAAAAACACCCCCAGGCCCCAGTAAGACCCCAAAAAGACCCCAGAAACGCCCATAAATCCCAATAGGGTCATTCTGACCCCAAAAACACCCATAGACCCCCAAAATACCCATAGACCTCAATGTGGCCCCACTGACCCCAAAAACACCCATAAACCCCAATAGGGCCCCATAGACCCCAGTACAGCCTTACTGACCCCAAAAACACCCCCAGGCCCCAGTAAGACCCCAAAAAGACCCCAGAAACGCCCATAAATCCCAATAGGGTCATTCTGACCCCAAAAACACCCATAGACCCCAAAAATACCCATAGAACGCAGTGTGGCCCCACTGACCCCAAAAACACCCATAAACCCCAATAGGGCCCCATAGACCCAAATACAGCCTTGCTGACCCCAAAAACACCCACAGACCCCAAAAATACCCGTAGGACTCAGTGTGGCCCCAGTGACCCCAAAAACACCCATAAACCCCAAATAGGGCTGTTCCAACTCCAAAAACACCCATAGACCCCAATAGGGCCATTCTGACCCCAAAAACGCCCACAGACCCCAAAAATACCCATAGACCTCAGTGTGGCCCCACTGACCCCAAAAACACCCATAGACCCCAATAGGGCCCTACAGACCCCAATTCAGCCTAACTGACCCCAAAAACACCCACAGACCCCAAAAATACCCATAGAACGCAGTGTGGCCCCAGTGACCCCAAAAACGCCCATAAACCCCAATAGGGCCCCATAGACCCAAATACAGCCTTACTGACCCCAAAAACACCCGCAGACCCCAAAAGTACCCATAGACCTCAGTGTGGCCCCACTGACCCCAAAAACGCCCATAAACCCCAATAGGGCCCCATAGACCCAAATACAGCCTTTCTGACCCCAAAAACGCCCACAGACCCCAAAAATACCCATAGACCTCAGTGTGGCCCCACTGACCCCAATGATCCTATTGACCCCATTGACCCCAATGATCCTATTGACCCCATTGACCCCAATGACCCCAATGATCCTATTGACTCCACTGACCCCACTGACCCCAATGACCCCATAGCCCCATTTACCCCAATGATCCCAATGGCCCCACTGACCCCATTGGCCCCATATGCCCCCACTGACCCCAATTCCCCCACTGACCCCACTGAC